AGAATTCCCCAGCCAGCATGGGGAATTCTGGGAGTTGAAGTCCACACATCTTAAAGTTGCCGGGGTTGAGAAATACTGCTCTAGGAGGTCTCAACCAGTGGCTCTACCAGGCTTGGGAGCTAAGCAAGGCTGGGCCTCATTAATAGTTGGATGAGAGACCTCCAGAGAATATTATAGCTGAAGGCTAACCTGGGAAGTTGAAAAAACATTCTGGGAGAAGGTATTCCTGCCAAAAAATTACATGGACACATCTACAAAAACACTAGAACTCAAGCTCCATTCAAACTGACTTGATTTTCCTCTAAGAGGTGAAAGCTGCATATACAATCATTCCTCTTCAGTCCTAATTAGACACCTGAAGTACAAGAGTACATTGCCTCTCATGTGGTAGAGATAAAACAAGAGTAGACAGTGCTGAGTAAAAGCATTATTTGGTAGTGTCAAAACTGAATCTTGGGAACAAAGGGACGTGGAAGAAGAAGAAAGAAGTGAAAGAAACCAAACTGGAAATAGAAATCATGTATGAAGGTGTAGTAGAAGACGGATCAAACCCCAACAGGTTGAATGAAAAATGAACATAAGGAACAAGGATATGTGGAAACTGCTTGGAACAGAGTGAAAAAAATTATGTTACTGAGTGCCACAAAAGTGTGTGGTGTTACTGTACAGGTAGTTTTTATTTAGCAAACACAATTATGACTGGCAATTTCATTGCTAAGCACCATGGTTGCTAAGCAGAAAATCAAGGTTTGGGGTTTTTTTACGCTGTCATAACTTCAAACTGTTATTAAACGAGGCAACTGGTAAGCAAGGACTACTTGTAATGGGAAGTTAAAAAAGATTGTTGGTGGAATGATGAAGTGAAAGGGAATATGGATGAGCAAAAATACATATGAGAGAATGACCATTGCAAAAAAAAAAAAATGAAGATGAGAGAAGGAAAGGTTTTGTATCATGTACATAAAGAAAAAAGATGCAAAGAGAATAAAGAAGGGGTAAGATTAAAAGAGGCAGAGAAAACGTGAGCAGCTTTGATGAAAATGAAGCTGCTTTGGAAGTGGGTTAAAAGCACTAAACAAGGATTAGCACTAAACAAGCAGAGTGAACAAAATTACACGTAAAGCAGTTAAACAATTTGGGAAAAAATTGAAGCAGCGGGATACTGGAAGGAATATTTTAGGGATTTGTTTAGAGATTTGCCAAGGAAGATACAGAAAACCTTTGCCACTTGAATTTTCTGAAGTCTTTTGCAATTTGTCTTCTACACCCATCAGGTTGGTTCAGAAATCAGGTACCTTTCATTTTCTGCTAAATACCAGGTCCTGTTGCTGCTAATACAATACCAGATGTAGGGAATAAATAACTCAGTCCCCATTATATTGTGCAGACATGCACACCATTATGTGTTCCTAAAACCTCCTCTTCCCTTGTGTGCAGATGCACGGCCGGATTCTACGGGAACCCAGCGCTGTCCTCGGGTGGCCACTGCCGCCCTTGCCCCTGCCCTGAGGCTCCTGGCTCTGGGCGCCATTTTGCAGTCACCTGCCACCAAGACAACCCCTCTGGAACTGTAATGTGCAGCTGCCTCAGAGGTTATACAGGCAAGTCCAGCTTTGGGGCACAAGGGTAGGTCTTCAGTCGCCTTGTGGACTGGATTGGGGGATGGTCAAGTCCCCTCCAAGTTTGGAGATTGGAACTGAGGGAGATGAAAGGTGTGGTTGGGTTATGTACATTGAGGAGACACGAGCGTTTGCTCCTGTTTGTACCAGCCACCCCAAATGGCACTCTTCTTTCACACAGGCCCGCGCTGTGACGAGTGTGCTCCTGGTTACTATGGCAACCCTTGGCAGGCTAGGGGACGATGCCAGCCCTGCGCCTGTAATAACAACATTGATCTGGCAGACCCCAAATCCTGTGATCGACGCACAGGGCAATGCCTTCAGTGCCTCTACCACACAGAGGGAGACCGGTGTCAGCATTGCCAAAAGGGTTACTATGGCGATGCCACTCGACGTACCTGCCGCCGTGAGTGTCTGCTGTAAAAACAGACTGCCGGGGCCGGGACCTAGGGCTTCTTTCTCTTGGCCCTACTTTCCTAGCCCTGACCTTGGTGTCCATTCCTTCTGTAAACTGCATTCTGACATTGAAGGAAAAATCTCTCTTTCAGGGCTAAAAGAAGTCTTAAGAACAGTCTATGGCTTCCATATTTCTTTTAGCAGCAGGTGCTGTGCTGCTAAATAAGTGTGAGATTGGATATTGTGGGTTCAAGTCTGGTTATGCCTTAGCATTTATCATTTTGTTATTCCCAATCTCAAATCTCAACAGAATTATTAATAAGAAAATAGCCTGTGATGCCTCCTATTCCTTTTTGGTGGGCAAGACTTGCTGCATTAAGGCCTTTGGAAATAAAGCCCACAGGCCAAAATATGCTAGAGAAACTGCTTTTAATTCTGGATCTGATTTCTTCTTCAGACAACCAGGACATTCAACTTTCTGTTTATCTAAAAGAGAGAAAGAAAGCAAATCTATGTCTGGTCCTCATTACTGTTGATAAATGAGACTAGAAATGATCCATGAGGCAGGATAGATCCCAGTGTGGTGCAAATAGTTTTGTTTTGCTTGGTTTTTATGGCTTCCTTACAGACTGATGTGAGGAAGCTGAAAATCAGATTATTTTTGCTGTCCCTTCATCCTTTGCCTGCACACACAATCCTACAAAAACATTGGTGCTAACCTGTAATATATCCCAGCCATCTCAGAAGTAAAAAGCTTTGGTTTATGGTGCCCAGTGAGACTGGCTTCTTTTTAACTGACATATTTATCTACTTTTCTGTAAAGATGGTTTGACCCACCAGTTACTGTAAACTTTTTTCCTCCAAAGAATTGGCTGAATATTGTATTTTTCTCCCTCCCTGCAGGTTGCTCTTGTAACTCTCTGGGTACCGTCCAGAGCAAATGCTCCTCACAAGAGCAGTGCCAGTGTGATCGGTACAGTGGGAAGTGCCAATGCCTACCCAGTGTCCAAGGACAGAACTGTGACCGTTGCGCCCCCAACTTCTGGAACTTAACCAGTGGGCAGGGCTGCCAACCATGTGATTGCCACCCCCATTACTCACTGAGCCCTGCTTGTAATCAGGTCAGTCTGAGCTCTGTGCTAGGCAAGGCAGGTGTAGACATCTTGGTCAACGTTGTGCTAAAAACTGGAGAGCTTCCAGTGTTGAGAACAGGGTGGGCTAGAACAGGGAACCTGGAAGACTCAGGCTCGGAGGAAGCTCCTTGGCTGATAGGCTGGGAGAGGGGAGGAGAGTTTAATTCAGCTGTATTTCGTAGGCCTGATAAGAGGATAAAAGCGGGCTGGAGGTGTGGTGCCCGCATTGCCTTCAGAGGATGCACACACTCATGTGGAAGCTATTTTGATATCAATGTAGAAGCACTGAACAGAGACCTGCTTGGATATCAAAGCCATTTGCTGTACTTGCAGGAGACCAGAATAGTCAGGGGAGGTGCTTCACCATAAAAATAGACCAGAACATGGTTCAGCTTGGAGTGAAGCAGGCTTGGAGAAGCTCCTGTTCTTTGCAACTGCTGTCTCTGCTGCAGCTACTGTACTGCTCTCCTTTCCTGCCTCCTTACAACAGCGTGGCTACAGCAAAGTCCAAACTTCACCCCGCTATGCATTTAAGTCGTTCTGAGCAAGAAAGCCATATTGTCCCAAACCAGCTGATGTGCAGTACGGGGATAATAATGCTTACTGGCCATAAAGGTCTGTTGTCATTTCTTCCATCTTGGTACTACGCAGATATTGTCAGCCCTTCGAGGTAGTCCAGACAGGAAACCAAAACCATGAATACCAATACTACCAATACTATTGTAAGATGACAGTAACAGAATCTTGCAAGTCTGAAAGCACCCCCCCCGCCTTTACTTTCCCGAGAACGAGGGAGGGAGGGCCCCTTTGGAGATGCTCTCTCCACCCCCATCCCTCCTTTGGACTCAGATTTCTCTTATCAGACCATTGTCTAGGCTGCGGCTCTTCCTCCTGTCTCCCAAGGTTATTCTCATAGCCCATTACAAATATATGTCATATTATAATTCCCATTACTTCTAATGGAAAGATACCAGAAGAGCATTAGAGGCTTTACAGAAAATATACTTCAGTATGTTTTAATATTGTATAGTACTATATTATTATTATTATTGTCATTGTTTTTATTGCTGCTGCCACTTCTCCTCCTCCTGCCTCCTCTCCCACTCCTCACATCTCTACCTCTGCCCTTGATAGCAGCCTCAGGTCCTCTAATGGCGCCTGTCTTTGTAGTTCACAGGGCAGTGCCAGTGCCGGCCTGGATTTGGGGGGCGCACCTGTTCAGAATGCCAGGAGAACCACTGGGGTCAGCCAGGTCAGCAATGCAGAGGTAAGTGTGAAAGAAAGCAAGACGTGAAACTTTGTCAAAATGACAGACTTCAAATTTGAATGTTTTGGGGGGGGGGGATTGGGGGGTTTCTTTTAAAGGCAAAATAAATGCCTTACATCTAGAAGAGTCTTAATATTCCTATTTAAGGCCATAAAAAAAAAAACGACCAAAATGTCACCATTGAAAAGCAGCACTTTAGCACCCTATTGATGTATTTATTACATTTCTATCCTGCTTTTTGATAGGATCTCGGGGTGGCATGGAGAGCGCTCGGCCCCTGTGAGGTAGGTGGGGCTGAGAAAGAACAACTGGCTGAAAGGCGCCCAGTGAGCATTAGTGGCTGAGGTGGGCTAGACCTTGGGTCTGCCTGCTCCCAGTCCAATGCCTACTAAGCCAAACTGGCCCCCAGATGATAGTAGCATCTGCACGTGCCCCACAGGCAACTGTTCCCAGCGCTAACTGCGGGATGCAGTGTTCCAAAAGCTGAAGAAAGTGTTGCAGCCAGTAAGGAAATTAGTCCTCAGCAGAGATCGTGACACCCAAGTGTGCAGTGCCATGCCTGAAAGCGTGCAGGCAGTCGAGTGGATGAAATGGTGGAAAGATGGCCCTTCTTTCAGAACAATCCTACCTGTAGTAAGGGCACCCATGCTGAGAAAATAGAGCCTATATTGACTGGAATAGATAGAACTGAAGCATATGCAGTAGGAAGAGGGAGGTCTGAGGTTCAGTTCAGCTTGTTAAAGGAATTATTTCCGGGAGAACGCAGTCCCGCCTGATCTTCGTTTGCCAAGAGGCACTGTGTGGAAGAGCAGAGAGGGTGAGCTAACGCTTCCTGCGTGTTGTTGGCAGCCTGCGACTGTGATCCACGTGGGATCGAGAAGCTGCAGTGTCACCGTGCCACCGGGCACTGCTCCTGCCACCCGGGGGTCTCAGGCGTGCGTTGCGACCAGTGCTCCCGGGGCTTTGCTGGTGAATTCCCTGCCTGCCAGCCCTGCCACCAATGTTTTGGAGACTGGGATCGCATCGTGCAAGATTTGGCTGCCCACATCCGCGGCCTGATGCAGCGGGCCCAACAGCTCCACCAGACGGGGCTCACTGGGGCTTTTGAGGGCCCCTTCCGTCGACTGCAGGACAAACTGAGCACCATCCAGGCCGTGGTCAGCGCTCGCAACGCGACCGCCAGCACCATCACTCACCTCTTGCGTAACATGGATGATGTCCGGTAAGTAAAAAAGCAACCCAGCCCCAACATCGGCTAAACTGGCCAGAATGTGGAGCAGGCTGGAGTGAAAGAGCAGGGATTAGCAGGACTCATAATCCAGAGTGCAGGCTTTGTAAACTGGAGGCCTCCAATTAATCAAAGAAAAATCTCAAGTCATTCAAAAGACTTCCCCAGTTAACTCGGCAGCAGGATTTTTGAAACCTGTTCAAGACCACTCTCACAATATGCCTGCTGCAACAAATCAATGTACCATTTAAAATGAAGTCGGCTTGCTTTCTTTTAAGAAAAGAATGCTTTCATCACAAGCAGATTTCTGCAGAATTAAGTCATTAAGTCAATTGCAGTTTATTGGAGAAACCACAACTGGCAGAGTTAGGGTTGCTAACTTCATCATGCTAAACCATAAACTAGGATGAACATCTGAGTTCACAACACATCCAGAGTCCAAATCAAATCGTGTCATAGTGTAATATATGAATGCAGTTACACATCCCTTTTAATATTGCTCACCAAATGTTTCTTTAAATCAACGGAAATCCTAATAATTACTGTTTAATATAAAGATTCAACTTCTTTCCAGTTGTTCTTAGCCTAACCTAAGTTAAAAACCCTTAAGGTGTATCTGCAATGATTAGATGTACTGGATAAGCATTAGGGAATCGATCTCTGTCCCCATCAAGGCTTGGTCGTTAGCCTCCCTCTTTAGCAATACATTGACTATAGGAAACTGCTTTGTATCATCTACCCCCAATCATCTCCTCTGACTGGCAACAGCTCTTCCAAGACTGATGTGGGTCTGAGGAATTTCAGGACGTAAAGCAGCTGCTCTTTGTCACTGAACTCTAGTTTCTCTAATTAATTTGAGAGGTGCTAGGAGCAACTTGCCCTAAAGAAGAGGAGTCACATTGGATTAACATGTCTGGGGGGGGTATATTTCATGTCCCCTTCTTGCTCTGATCAGGCAGGAGATAGCTGATGTAACAGAAACACTGACCCAGCTGGAGGGATTGCTGACAGCCACCCAGGACAAGAATTTTAATGCCAACCATGCGCTGGGTACCCTGGAGCGTGGCGTTCGGAGCCTCAACTTCAGCCTAGCAGACCTGAAACACCAGCTTAAGATTCTCATCAATACCAATGTGTTGGGTAAGGGTCTTCTGTCATATCATAAACAGCACTTTAAAACCTAAGAGCTAAGGGCAAATACAGCCAGCTGAGGGTGAGTTGAAGGCACTGGGAAGATACCACCTTTAAATGTGGTTGTGTGAAACTTTGCGCCATGGCTAGTAGAACAGAAGAAAGAGCCCCATGTCCCTCCTCCCTAAAAGTTCTAGAATTTGGTCTAGAAATGCTTAATCCCAACCTTCTGCCTAGCTTGGTAGTTACAGCGCATCCCTCCAAAATGTTGTTGCTTCCCTTTCTTTATATTCTTACCCAAATGCTGCCACCTGGATCCTTGTGCAAATTCCTGGCTCACGTGTACGCACTCTGTTTGTGTATATTACCCCTTCTTCCCTGCTGTCAGTGTACATTTTGGCTGAGTTACGCTCTTCAGTCCTTGCATTCCGCTCATGAGTTTCATCCCACCTGGTTAAAGCAAATAAACTCCTAAGTCATATTTGCCTGCCAGCATCAATAATTGTGGTTCTTGCTGTTTGTTCCCCATTCTCCATGCATCTATACAGATATATTGGAAATCTTGAATCATAAAAATGTGATCTATTCCTTCCTTTATGCTTATTATTGGTGCTTCCATATCCCACATCTCAATCTTAGTTTCATTCCCAGTACCTCTCATTGCATTATTTTCTTGGCTGTCTTCTCCCTCCTCCGCAAGATTCAGTTTAAAGCTCTCTGAACCAAGTTTCCAAGGCCCTTTCATTCTTCCCAGTTTTCATGAGGTGCAGCGCATCTCTTGCCAGAATCCCTCATAAATCCTATGACTGAAGAATCAAATTGATACCGTTGGCATCACCTGCATACTCTATAATTAGTTTTCTTTCTTCCTGGACCATGATCTTCAACAGGAAGAAAGGAAGAAAGCACCATCTGTGCCCCATCCCCTCACTCTCCTGCCCAGTGCTTCATAATTCCTTGCCCTTCTTTTTAAGGCTGTGTCTGTCTGTCTGTTTTGTTACCACATGGATGAATAGAAAAGGGATAGTTGTGAATGGGGGCTGGAATTAAAGGGTCTTCTGGCCCTTTCAATTACATCCCATTTTATGACTTGTAATTTTGGCTGCAAAGCCAGGAAAAAATTGAGTTTACCTGCAGTTGGGACTACATTATATATTCATATAATCTGATTTCCCCTTCATGGATCACTGCCTTGTCGTGGCGAAGGGGCTTGCGTAACTCAGTG